GCTGCCTCCACCGGCAGCAAAAAGACGGTGGAGTGCCCCATCCATGACAGTCATCTGCCGGTCCATTTTCTCTATTCGTTGCTGAAGGAAATTTACCCGCTCCTTAAGTGCCAGAAACTCCTCACAAGAAACCTCCACACCGCCAGTGACCCTGTCTGACTCGCCGCGGAGCAGGCCGTCCCGTGCTCCCGAAATCGCGCCGGCGTCTCGGTCCCCAGCCGAAACACACTGCAGAAGCATCTCCAGACGGTTAATGTCACGGCGACACAAACGCATTTCGCTGCGGGAAGAAATGTTTTCCTCCATCAGGCCCCTAAGTTCCGTGACCCACTGTGTGGTGGTGTCGTTCGTCGCCTCCAGCGCACCACGAAGGCGTGCAACGTGCTGGTGAATCACATCACATTCCTCAGACGTTTTTCGAGCCTGTGCTCGCACCATTTGCTCTAATTCGTCTCGAAGACCAACAACGTGAGAATCTAACTCTAACAAAGAATTTCGCACCAAATCATGGTGACGACGAACGAGCTCATCGACACGACGGTCTCCACGCTGCTGCTCTATTCTTGCTTCGTTTTGCAGGGCAAAAACAGCGTCCCGAAGATGATTCTGCTCTGATGTAATGCCTTTGACATGCTCTTCCATTTCTCTAGAAAGATTCTCTATAGGAAGCTTCGTGCCACGCTGAATTCGATCCAATGCATTCTGCATCTCTCCTAAACCCCGTCTTGATACCTCCGTGGTTTCTTTTAGCGACTCCGCAAGTTCTAGGTGAGAGTTATTCATTTCCGCCAGGCGTTGACTCATCGTCGTGTTCACCCCTTTTATGGAATCGGTCATTCTCTGTTCAAAGGCCGCTTTCCACGCTTTCATCTCATCCGCAACTATACGCCTTACATCTGATTCATCCAAGATTCTGCGTGACGGGGCAGGAATGGTGGCCGTCGTGTTGAATACAGGCGCATGGAAAAGAGACGCAGGCTCTGTTGCTTCCTTCGGTGTGGCATCTGTCATGTCCCACGCCAGAGATCCCATGGCGCTATTGCGGTAGAGTTTGTCACGCTCAATTGCTGTGCGCTCAATGATCGCCTGCATCTCCTTGTTGATGGAGTCGAGTCGTTGGCGGAAATGGTCCTCCTCGCTAGCATGGGATGAAGTCAACATAACGCCCCCGCCAAAACCAAATCCCCTCTTCTGCGTTTCAGCAAGGAGCCGACAAGCCAAGAGCAAAAAACAACAACAACATTCAAAGAGAGGAAAAAAATACACACAGACGAAGTATAAAAAAAAAAAAAAAAAAAAAGATAAAAACAGATAACACCACACTCCTGTACGTTAAGCATGGCTCCAAAACAAAACAAAACAAAAAGGCATCTCGGGCTCCAATACACATGCACAGACGCGCAATTCATGCGGTAAGAAAAAAAAAAAGGAACGAGTTACGAAAATAAAAATAAAAACATTACGGTACCATCATGCAAAGGGGAATATTGAGGAATACTTCAAGCAAACCTCCGGTGATAAGTGGAGAAATAACACTACAACAGAAACGACAATAAAAGGAAGCAAAAGTATAAAAGCAAACGCTCGTTCCAACCCGTACTCCCTCTTCCTATTCCTAGTTGGATTCAATGAAGTGAACACCAAATCCTTCCTTCTTTGGATCCATCCCCTTCTCATTCCAGTGTTTTTAAGCATTCACCGTGCAGTTAGTAATTGGCCTATACAAACTCACTGCAATTACCACACGCAGAGACACGCCAATACTCACTCATTGCTCTGTGCAGGGTACCAAACAGGGGTTGCCGGAAGAGCGGCTGTTCTGCTCCGTTCGTAGCTTTCACACAAGTATTCCGCAAGCGCTGGAGGAAATATTTTGGAAAACTCGCTTTCTATTGTTGGCTTTGATTTTTTGTAAGTAAAAAGCACCTTTTTCCTAGTTTTTTCTTCAATTACGGCGGAGAGCAATTTCCACAGTACGCTGAACGCCTTGGGGGCATCCACGAGGATCATCAATCCCAGACGCTCGGGGAAGTGATCCTGGATGGCGTGAATCACGGACAAACCCATTTTTGGGCTGCTGTCTCTGATGTGTGAGTACGTTTCAAAATCTGTGACACACACCCACTGTTCCACCCCGAGAGGCATGAGCTTCACCAAGTGGTTGAATGTGGCCACACAGTGCTTCAGTGGCTCCTTCCGATCCGGTCCCCACCGCATTGCCATAAAACAAACAGGACGGTTTTGGAGGTCCCACCCAACAAACTGCATCATGTGCCTATTCGGATCTTTTAAACAGGCCTCACATACCCAGTTGTCAGCGTCTTTTTTTCGGCGCCAATGAACAGATTTTTCCAGCATACAAAAGGATTTCTTCACGTCAAAGTTGCGGGCGATAAGGTAGCGGAGAAGCAACCAATCGTCGTCCTCAGCCTCGCTGTACCATGGGGCATCCCGGACGGCTTTCTTGAAGGAGCTTAGTATTTCCCGCTGCCCCTCTGAAAACTCCTGCAGGCGCTCCTCAAGAGTTTTCACCACTGCCGGCGGTCGCACCTTGGCGGCCTCCTCCTCCGTAGACAGAAAGAAGGGGATTTGAAACCCCGCATTCTGCTTCGGGAAAAGAAACAAATCACGTGGCAAACGCAATTCCAATGTTGAGTCGGGACTATACATCCCTTCAATTCCTTTTCTCAATGCTTGATGTTTGTTTGTTTCAAAAGCAAAACAACAACAACAAATGAATGTCAAAACATCACGGCACAATCACATACGCACACACACACACACACACACACATACACACACACACAGAGAGAGAGAGAGAGAGAGAGAGAGAGAGATATGACAAACAAACAAACAGAAGGTATGAGGATGAGGAGATAAATAAAAGCCCAAAGCGGCGGACGACGCAAGTGGCAGTTGGGAGTGAAAATATCCATCAAAGGACCTCCCGCATCGACAGATCTTTTTTTCCCTCTTTTCTTTGGCAATGCACACGACCCTTTGATGCCGTTCCCCTCCAATGGTACATTCCATATACATATATATGTATCATTTTTTGCCCTCCTCTTGACTGTGGTAAAAGGGAAAAACAGAGAATCATACATATTTATTACCGACTTTACTTTATAAGCAGGTTCACATCAAAATGCCGTCGAAGAGGTTTCGCGGCTAATTGCAAAATTGATAGATCCTTCAAACTGCTCTTCTATATGTGGCTTAAGCTTTTCCCACTCAACGCGACGAAAAAACACAAACAAATACGCTGGGATCGCTAACAGCGTACAGCCCACAATTGGGCCAATCCACAGCGCCTTGACGTCATAACCGCAACGGAAAAGAAGAAATAGACCCAGTGGCGTTCCCACAAGCGTCAATCCCACAAAAACAATAAAAACGCCAATTACCTGAAGCCCACATCCACGCAGGATGCCCAGGAAATTGGATTGGATTGAATCCAATAAATGATAAACTAAAAAAAAAGGAGTGATGCTCATAAAAATTGACACAACCTCTGGGTCCTCGGTAAATATATAGGCAATTTGCTCTTGGTACAAATACAAAAGAGATATGTTCACAAAAGACAAAGCAAATACAACAATAAATGAAAGCATGGCGTATCGCCTTCCTAACTGCGGTTTTCCCTCACCAACAGAATTTCCTACCAAGACGGTGCTGGCCATAAAAAATCCAGATACGACACTCCAGCAGAGATTCGATAACTGGCTACTAATGGCATATGCACCCAACTGCACCGAACTCATTAAACCCGCACAGACAGAATTTACTTCCATTGCACTCCACTCACTAAAGGCCATGCCAAGGGAGGGAATAGCCAGCTTTAACATTGGAATCCAGTTTTGAAACGCCGCCATATTCCAGCCACCCCATGTGTGCCGATACAGACCACTCACCCGGAGGTAGATAACGAGGGTGATGTCCATAAGAAGAAGAAGAATTACCCATCCCAGCGCAATTCCTTTATAACCTCCAAAAAACACACAAATGTACTGTACGAGGGGATTCAAAATTGCTGCCATAGCCAGCGTCAGAAAAACGGGATTCGAACGATGTTGACTCGCATAATAGCGTCGAAGAAGCTCCAAGAGCATAATCGCCGGCAATCCCAGGACACATATCAGGCAAAATGAGCCCACCTCCTCTGCCACATAGGTCGGCTCACCAATTGCTATCAAGATTGGTGTCAAACAGCTGAGTAAAATGGCTAGAGGAACACTAAAGAGCATAAGTATAATAAACATTCTCTGGGCGTAAACCCCATACATTGTGCTTCGCCGATCCAGTCCGTAGGAGTGCGACAAAAGTGTCTCCAGCGCTCCACAAAGTCCACTACCAAACGCAAATCCTGTCGCATTGAGAATGCCAATAGCGATGGAAACACTCCCAAGCTCTTGTACACCAAGATGGCCCGCAAAGAAAAACATAACGATTATAAAACTAAACTGCGAAACCTGAGAGGCTGACAGAGGAAGACCTATGCGCATTAGATCCCCAAGCAGTTGCCTCTGAGTGGGCACTGAATAATGCCCGCAGTCCGTCGACAACTGGCCGTTTGGCAGCCTTACATACGTCTCCTCCATGGTTCCCCTTTTTCACGCAAAAAGAAATAAAAGTGAAATGAAATACAGAAATAACACGTTAGAAGACCCAACGACTGCTAAAACAACCTTGCGCCAAAGAGAGACTCCCTTCAAGTCAAAAGACCAAACCCAAGACCATTGCAAAAACAATGAAAAATACCAAAAAAAATAAAAAAAAATAATAATAAATAAACTATCCAAAAAACATGAGCTCGTGAGGCAAATTTCATTAAATATTTCTTTTTTCTTTCCTTCAGTCCACCCTTCTATGCATCGCCTTTTTTTTTTTCTTTTCTCGTTGCACCGTCATGAACAGGAGGCAACACCTTCCCTGGCCTCCACCGTCACTTCCCTTGCCTCCTCGGATCCTCCCTTCCCCTCCTCCTCCTCCTCCTCCTCCAAAACCACGATACCCTCGTCGTGATGTGGCTTCAATTTTGACCAATCAATGTGCCAGTAGAGGATGTAGATGTAGGACGGAAATCCCACCGCCGTCACACCAAGGAAGGGTCCAATCCAAAGGGACTCAACGCCATACTTAACGTGGAAAAATAGATAAAACGCAACAGGCACACCAACAAGGCAGAGGGCGCAACCAATAATAAGGGCGCCAAGTTTTTGTAATCCACACCCACGCAAAATTCCCATAACTGTACTTTGAAATGTATCAAAAAGATGATATGGAAGAACAAAAAGCAACAGACGGCGATACACCACAACCACCGATTCCTCAGACGTGAAAAGATAAGGGATACGGTCTTCTAGCAGCCAACATATGGTAATATCCAATAACGCCGTAATGACCACCATTACAAGAGCCACGTTTGCTATGCGCTTTCCAAGCAAAGGTTTACCTTCACCAATGGCGTTGCCAATAAGTACGCAGACAATTATCATCGTCCCGGAAGGGATACTCCAACAGAGGCCAAACACCTGCATCGTAATGTAAAATGCGGCCAATTCGTGCGGCTCGGCAAACCCCGCGCAGATGCTAATTACCTCCAGCAGAACCCACTCGCTCAACATCATTGCCATTGAGGGAATGGCCAATTTTAAAAGGCCTTTAAGGTTTTTAAATGCATTTATATTCCAACCTCCCCATGTTTTCTTATATAAGCCGGTGCAATATGCGTACCCTACTAAAGAAAGATCAATAAAAGTATATAAAAATAACCAAGCCACGGGCGAACCTTCAAATCCAAAAAAATGAATCAAAACTATTTGTGAAATGGGATTAAAAAACGATGCTGCTACCATTACAAATGAAAGAGGCTTAGTCTCGTGTTGGCAGGCATAATAACGGGTGAGTAGTTGAAAAAGTTGTGTACTTGGAATACCAAAAGCTGCAATGTGACAAAATCGCCCAGTGTAATAAACAACTTCTTTAGTTTGTCCAATATACTCCAAAAACATATCTGCGTATATTAAAACTACCCCAAGAGGAATGCTGACAACAAGTAAAATAATTGTCATGCGCTGAGCATAAGTGCCGTACATGTACATTGTGCCTGAATTTCCACTAGACTTATGCATGCCGTACGTGTGAGATAAGACGGTTTCAAGCGCCCCACAGGAACCGGCGGCAAATGCAAACGCTGTCGCATTGATAAGTCCAAGAGCTAGTGCCGCCCCTCCCAGTTCGTTCACCCCTAAAGTTCTTCCCACGATGGCAAGGATGACTGTAATAATAAAAAACTGGATGAGTGTGGCCACACTAAGAGGAAGACCAGTCACAAGAAACTTCTTTACAATTTCCAGCGTAGTAATGTCCACTGAAAGGGGCTTTTCCTCTTCCATTCCCCCTGCGCAACCCGCTGTGGCAAAGGAATCATTAGCCACAGAATGAATGTTCACTGACATTCGTTTGATCTTTTTATCATTCTATTGGTTCCACAACATAAGGGAGAAAAAGTAAAGAGAAATTAGAAAAATTAATAATAATAATAAAAACAACCACCCAACTGAAAACACACACATACACGCAGACACACATGTGCACATGCATATATACAAATATCCCTCTCCTCTTCATCATCCGTGATTCATTTTGAACAAAAATGTAAAATCTTTTCAGTGAACTCCGCCCAGTAGACAGTTTCACCCAGATGATGGATACAACACTTTTTTTTTTTTTTTGGAAAAAGGCCTTTTGCTTTTATAGACTTCTACGTACATTTCCCTTGCCTGCCCATCATGAGGCAGTTACAGCACTCTTCCTTCCTCCCCCTCTTTGCTTCTGCTTTATTTCTTTTCCTTTTCTTCCCCCTTCCACTTTATTCACTACAGTTAACGTATAATCAACATCGGTACTTTGCTTCCCCCTTTGTATTCTTCCCTCCTCCTCCTTTCCACCCCCCACACACGCACACACACACAACTGGTGTTTGCCACCCGCACCTTTACAAATGGAAGACACAACGTCTTTTTTCCCTCGTTGTTCTTTGCTCTCACGACCCCCCTCTTTTCCAAGCCGAACACAAATAAATCCCGAAAAGGGGAGCGGAGCTGACATTTCAATTTTTTTTTTTTTTTTCGTTCTCCTTTACAGAATGTGTGGTGCAGACAAACGTCTGCCCACTTCGTCGCCCTCATCGCGTTGCATCCACACAAACAAACAAACAAAAAATAAGCGAAGAAGGGAAGAAAAGTAAAATCAAAAACAACAACAACAACAAAACATTATAAAAGGCGTCAGTGACGCACACACATGTGGGGCAATAAAAGGAAAGAAAAGAAAAAAAAAAACCTTCAATTTAAATAAAATCAGGGCGCTAATCCATGCCAACACCATAAACGCAATACACACATGTAAAAAGGAGAGAGAAAAAAAAGGAAAAGATCACAAAATGATTAGCAGAAAGTCCATTAAAAATTTATATTTTATTTTTATTATTTAAAACGGGGAGATTACGTGCCTTATATTTTATGACTCCTTTTTTTTTTTCTCTTTTTTTTTTTTTTTTTTTAGAGGCAACAATAATAATAAATCACCGTCGCCTCAATAATAATAATGAAAGGGCAATGAAACAAACACGTACTTCCAAGAAAAACAACACACATATAAATAAATATAAATATATAAATATGTATGGGTGCACGAAAAAAATAGTTGACATTCCTTCCTTCCTTCCTTCATTTTTTTTTTTTTTTTTTGTTGTTGCTGTTGTTTTTGTATTTTATTTTTGCATACAAAACGGGAAAAACACTTTTATCCCTGTTGTTTCACACATTCATTTTCTTCTCTCCCATTCCCCTTCGTTGCCGCAGTGGCGCTAATTCCCACCTCACGCCAACGTCAAATCGCCGTCTCCATGCAGGGCGCGATGTGTCACTGTTCGCCCCCCCTCCCCCAACCCTCCCAACGAAGCCTCTCCATCCAACGGGAGAAATAAACATACACGAGAAAAAAAAAAAGGAGGGGATATGAGGCGATCTGAAAGAAAAAAGAGAAGAGAAGAAAAAAGGGGAATTGGGAAAATATGAAGCACAAAACTGTTGATAACATAAGTTGATTGAACAGAAACGCGGCATACATGCGCCTCTTCTTTTCTTCTCATAACATTCCATGGATCCAGACAGAGTTTTCCCTTCCCTGTTCTTTTTGCTTCTGGCTGCCCCATTACATTTTTTTCCGCAAGTGGTCCAGCATTTCCTCCAGGCACATCAACAACTTTTTCGTTTCATCCGCAAACATCTGCATGCTCAACGTGAAGGAATGAAGCCCTTCCGCATCTGCCCCCGTGATAGGCATAACAAAGTTATCTGAAAGAGCCACCGACTCCGGGGGCTCGGGCGAGTCGTCTTCTTCTAGATTGGCTTTTGTGCCCTTTCGAAGAAGAGGAAGAATAGACCCCCCGTCGTCTACCCGTTTTCTGCCGAGTCCGCCCAGTGCCATCAACCCCTTTTCTTTGTGGGGTGCCGATTGCACGGTTGTTACGTCCGCGGTGAAAAAATCAGGCTCTTTTTTGTAACGTACATGTTTCTCCACAGAATTGCATATAATAAAAAGCATCATTTGATTCTTACGAAGGTGGAGTTCCTCGGTGGCCTGAATAAGCTCCAGAACAACTTGGATAAGCTCCATTTCCAATGACACCTGAGGATTTCGCAGGCTATAACAAAGCATGCCAACAAATCGTTGAAATGAGCGGCAGACATCCCAAGCAATCGGCTGCAGGCAATGGAGTACATGTCTTGTATCCGGAGCATAATGTTTCTGAGTTCTCAAAACTTCCCAACTGCACCAAGCTGTCCTCAACAAGCTTACGATGCGATAAAGATGATATGTTGTTTTTTCACATGACTTTGCTGGATAATCCGCATCCACAATCCCGCGTTCCGCACGAGCGAATCCCATAAACGGATAAGTTGCCTCAAGGCGGCCCTCAATTTCGTCCAGGAGTTCACTGATTTTCAACATGGGACGATCTACACGTACCATGAGACGCGTACTCGCATTTTTTAAAAAATCTGCGTCAGGCAAATTGCTACTTTCATAATGTTCATCAAGAACGATGGATTCTCTGTAAATAGGGAGAGTGCCGCAATGCATGCTATCAATTGGAAGAGGCTCTGAAAACATATCACAAAGCGAAGTCAATGCCTCGCTCACGCGTAAAAGGATGTTGATGCGTTTCTTGCGAAGGATAAGACCGGGACTTAGTGGAAGTACGATAACACTGATGGACACATAAATAAGAATACCAAAAGTGATTTGGTTCATGCGAGCCAACGTATCTTCCGTTGTCGTATGGCCCACAGTGTCTAAAGGAATCAACACAAACATGGCGTACACCGCCATGATACCATAGTCTTTGTCGGTGCGGAAAAATGTGCCTAGAAACATGAGTACGCACAGAGAGGCGACCTTTTGGACGGCTGTTGAGGAATACGACCCCGCAAAGAAGCCCATCACAGTACCGAGAATACAAGCCGTGAGTCGCACGATGGAGGCTTGCAGGGCTTCAACAGGATTGGCACCAGAAACAAAAGCAATGATATTTGGCCCAGAAAGTGACTTCTTGTCAATCCCGATAAGAAACGAAAAACCAACGGTTAATATCATCGCCGCACTCACCTTCGCAGCTTCGATCAAGCTTTGAATTTCCCTACGACGCCACTGCGTCACAAGTCGCCGGCAAAAGCGAAAAGTGTATTGGATAGGCTCCAACATGGTTTTATCCACAACTCTCTTGATGGAATTTCTCAGAAGGTGCTTCCTGCGTTGTACCTCGGAATCAAACTGCAGCATGGTGTCCCGGAAGTTAACGATGGAGAAGATAAAAAACGTCATCAGCGGGACAAATTCCTCCAAAGTACCGGGTTTATTCTCGTAAAAAAGTCTTCGACGGGCCTGGTCAAATTCGTGTTGGAGTTTCACTGTGACGTCATTCAATTCGACAAAATGACCGTGAAGCTGCCTTATCTGCCCAAAGGAGCTGGTGGAGGCAAGTTCCTCGGTGAGTTTATCGAGCGAGTTTGAGAAGCGCAAAACATGTTGTTGTATCAGCGCTCCAAAGGCCCGTGACCTCTCCGAATCATCAACCACCCACGGCTTGGACTCTAGAATGTCAAGAACCCTAGACAACCCTCTTAGGTTCGCACGAAGTCGTTCAAAGAGTTTCACCTTGGCTTCCCGTACCTCCCACGGCTCAAAACCCTCAAAAATAAACTCATAAAAGGAATCCTCATGTGCGGTACGAAATCTTTGCATCAGCAGATCGATTGCCGCGGTCATCATGCGGACTTTGGTCATTGCCATATTCCGCGTAACATTCGATTCTGACCAGAAGCAGGAAGACATGCCAGTCAACGCCGTGCCTGTGTTTCGAGCAATTTCAGCAAGAGCGCGATGGGCTTTATTTTTCGAAAAAACCGGGTAGGGCAGAAAGGTGGCGACAAGACAAAGACCTGTGCCAATGCACCAATCCGACATCACCCGTGATGGGTATACGGTGCCGCGCTGAGGATCCATAAGAATTCCAAACATGCAACTGTTAAACAAAAGAAGACAGATACGTCGAACCATGTTTTCCGTGAATGTCGCCATAAGAAACAACAACAGGGTGTAGAAGAAACACCATCCTATGATATAATTACCAAGATTGGCAGCTGCCCCAATAGTGGCAAGCGGCAGCCAGATACAACCAGCACGAGTCCAGGTGACCACGTATGCTAGACCCTCACCCACCGTCACCTTGGAAGCCAGCACAGCCGCAGAAAGACAGTGCGTCTTTGATACAAATGGCGAGTTGGGTAACTCCGCCGCAATAAGTGAGGCAGGGAGTAGAACGGCAAAGAGTGTGATGCGTAGCGCAAACTCCGACTGCCTCCAAAATTTCACAGAACGAAACGAATCAAAAAACGTACACTGTTCCAACCCCCCCGGTTTGCGCAGATGCCAGGGAACGTTTAGAACACTTTCACGGCGGCTCTGATCAAACGGATATCGCGGCACATACCTCGGAAGGCCAAAACTACCATTCCCCTTGTGATAATTTTGCTTGTCGATGGCGTCATCAAAAGAAGACATCTCTCCATCCAATGAAATAAGACCCTCGGAAATCGTGGTGTTTTTGTCATTATTTCTTCTGCCATCACCATTTCCTTTTTCCGCGTGGTGCCCGGGCATGGGTGTTTCTTTGCCTCCAATTTTATTCGCCTAAAAAACAAACAAACGATCAAAAGGAAATATTAATTGCGCTTGTATTTGTGGCGGCCACTGTCTTTGTCTTTATAAACCTCCTTTTCCACTCAACGGACACACGCACGCACAAAAAAAAAAAAAAAGAACAAACAGTTTCCCCTCAAGAAAAGGTTGAGGCACACTGAGATGCACCACACGACGCATAAGTACATCCATTACAGCCCTGTTCACTCAAAGATTCCCTTCAATAATGACAGCAATCCACACGGACCCCACTTCTTCTGGCAGCTCGCAAGGCGGAGAGTGCCGCTGCAAACTTGGGTGGCTGTTTCTTGTAGGCCACCTTCTCTTTTGCATGTGACGGCATCGCAAAATCCGTGAGGCGCAATTGCTGTTGTTTACGCTCATTGTTACGCTGCAATTCTCTCGCCAGGAATGCCTTTTGAGCCAACTCCAGCCGTTGCTGGCATGTGACATCGCCAAGCAAACCGTGCATTCCTGCAAAGGTCCGCAGACGATTCCACTCAGGGGATGCCACCGCAAACGGCCTCATATCCGCATCCACGGTGGCGTTAAAAAAAGCATCCACAACAGGCACTTGCGGAAAATCAGCGGCCACCCGCAACGTGCTCCACCTCCTCCAGTTCAAGTAGGACTGCAAGAGGACGCCTTCTTCTTCCCATACAAAACGCCGCTGTGCCACAGCATCCCTCCACCGTTTCAACATGTCCAACACGTGCGAGGGGCCCTGAACACTTTCCTGATGCCAAAAGGCAGTTATGATCCGTAGCGCCTCCAACAAAGACACTCCATCCACACCCTCGGCGTAGTCACATCCAAGCAAAAGCGCAAGCGCGACCAAAACGTCCTTGTCCACGCCACACATCGCCAAATCACTCTGACGATATACCACCACATAACGGTTCTTCGAGAAAAAACCACGCAGGACAACATTGGCGCCATGCACAATGACATCACTATCCTCTGAGAACACCGCATCCACAAGCCGCTGTTGACTCAGGAAGGCGCACTGTGCATCCGCCTCGTGGGGACTCAAGACAAATGGAATCCCACAACAATCCAGCAGCTCCAAAATCTCCAAAAGTTCAAACGGTATAACTTGATGTGCCTTCGCACCTTTTGTTATCGGCTTTGGCAGAAGTGTCTGTGGCGGGTGGGAAGGCGATGGCGTCTCCAGTGATCTTGTGACATCCACTGCACCCATCAAGTTCTTCGTGACGGGTGAAGACGACCCCTCCCTAGTCGTCTCCTCAACGGAACCAATAGAAGCTGCTTTAGGCCGCTCAATGCCGTCGTCAGAAACCTCGCGGTGCCTCCTTTTGGTTTCGGCGCCACTTTGGCAAATTAGTTGGGTGCCGGGATTCCACAGCTGGACCGAGTCATCATGATCACTGTTACTGTGGCCGCTACCGCCACTGCTGTCCCCCTCGTTGCAAAAAGAAAGAATATCATCACACGTTGCCATATCCTTTTCCAACCACGTGTCGCAAGAGTCATCATGCAAAGAATGAATCGTTATTTCCTCCATTTCACGGAGACGATCCGGAAACGTCTCTGTGTGACCTCCCACGATTACAACGGAACCCCTGCTGCTAGTTATGCCGGTGGACACTGTTTCGTAGTCATTAATACTGGTTTTGTCATCATCAGAGATCACCAGTGAAGCTTCTTCACTAGACAAGCTAGAAAGGCTCATGTAAGCCGGGGGATTAGTATCCTTCTCAGGCAGCACGGCGGCCTTTATGGGTCCATTTATTTTGTCTTCCAAGACCCCTCGCGGACCCATGAAGAGTGAAGTGCTAGAGTAAAAAAGTAAATTGGCCTCGACGCACATTTCACCGCGCTTCCTTTCTTCGATCCATTCCTCCGCCTCTGTTAAGAAAGAATTCGTCAGGGTTCTCGAAATGGCATCGGGTTCCAAGACAATTTCACGCCGTCTTTTTCGCAACAAACTTCGCGGATTAGTACTACAGCATCCAGTCGCGGTGTCAGAGATGTTGGTTAGTGACGAACGTTGCAACATTCCGGCGTCCGTTTCCTTCTTGGGGCTTGGTGGCCGCCCCGCTGTCTTCACTGGGCCCTTTTGATCCAACGCCTGTACATTCAACAAACCTGAAGCCAACTGCGCCTTGACGATCTGCTGAGCACGACGGGTGAGAGCCGACCGTTCCAGTGCTGCCCGACGCTCCGCTCGCCGACGCCTCTCCGTCGATTTCAAATCCGTGGCAGTGCCATCAAACACAAAAACAGGCTCAATACCATAAAAAAGAAGTTTCAGGATACGCAAGAAAAATCCCTCCAAAATGCATTGCTCCATATTTTCACCGGATGTGCATTTTGCCCGAAATTGGCTCATCCAAATGCTCGCGTCAATCGCAACCCGCTTGCCACGCCAGTCGCTCGGTTGGGTCACTTCTCCAAAGGTGTCAAGGAGGCGCCAGAGCCCATGCACTCCCATTTTGCCCCGCGGCAAAGGCCTACGCGACTGTGCTCCTTAATTGCCTCCCACACAAACTAACTTTTTTTTTTTCTGCAACAGAAAGACAACAACAAAAACAACGGAAAAAGAAACAAGCGCAGGAAACAAAAAAACGCCCATTTTCGTACATATCCCTCAATGTGTGAACTAGCAAAAACACGCGCTCGCCTGTAGGGAATGACAACGTGAGAGAGAATTGAAGTCCAATATGCGATTAAACACATTCTTTTACTCGAGTATGGGCAAGAAATTCCTTATCAAGCTTGGTGATCTTTGTTGTTTTTGCACCCCCCGTCTTGCGAAAGCGGCCCTGAAGGAATTTTCGATGCATGCTTGTTCCTTTTTTCCTGTTTACCATCTCTCTCTCGACCACCAGTAGTTCCACCTCCTCAAATCCAGAGTCCTTAAATAACTGTCGCACTTCCGCAAGTGAAAAGAAGTGGCTCAAGGTTCCATTGCTGCGAGTAAAGGTATTCTCTTCCACCCGGCGATGGGTACCGAACCGTTTCTCCGCGTGATCATTGACGCAGTAGTCACGAAAAAAAATGGTACCCCCTTCGGCCATACAAAATGCCACACGTCGCAGCACAACCAAGTGTTTCTCCACCGGGATAGAGCATAAAACAAAGATCATCGAAACAAAATTAACTGAGCTCTCAGCAATAGCAAGAGGGCTTGCAGAAGTTGACCCTGCAACAGAAATGTCCTCCTCAACTGGATCCAAAACACAAAAAGAGAGTTTTTCTTGGCAATTCTCGGGTAGAGAATGTCGCTTCTCTTGCAGCAACGCAATGGCCACAAAAGAGATATCAAACCCAACAAGACGCCATCCATTAACCTCGCCGTATTCCTCAAGAATCGGAAGGATAGCATTGCCCACGCCACATCCAACCTCCATCCAAATAATATCTGTTGCTGTAAGCGAGGACTCTTCTTTGAGTCGCTCAAGCGTTTCGCGAAGCTCGTGAAATTCACTTATGATGTAATGGCGATCGCGGTACCCGTTCACTGTATTGTGGCGGTAGTAGACGTCCCAGTGCTCCTTCTGCGCTGTTGTTCTTTTCTGTAGTGCATGTGCCAATTGACGCGCTGTGTAGGGACGATAATCCACAACAAACGGTGGGTCCCGTGGGCGTTTGCGCGTCTCTTCACTGCAGTGCAACTCTTCAGCAGGCATCTTCAGACCTTTTCCTTTGCTTTCCTTTGGCCCGCGGGCCTGCAGTAAATAATAAAAAAAGGAGAGCATAATTTATTTACTTTTCGGTATGCTTGGATGTCCCGTTCAACAATTTTTTTTCTTTCCCTCCACATCCTCCTCCTTTTCCCCTTTGCAATGCTGCTGCTGCCCATGTGCTGTTCCAGCGAACAATTCCAAACCAACGTTGCAGCACACATTTCGGCTAAACGTCTAGTTTAATGTGTCCCTCAGCAAAGGGATTGTACAGCACCGTGGTCCCAACAAGCTTCGCATCCTTGTCGAGAACGTTGTACTTGTCATCGACCCGGAGCTCCTCAAGTTTTTTAAGAGTTCTTTCGCTCTCACCGTCGTTCCACGCCAAGTCCACACATCCAAACGCGGTGTGTTTCGTGTCAAGTGACGGGCAGGGTTGAAAGATGATGAAGAACTGGGATGCGTTCGTGTTGGGCTTGTTGCCCCTGTGGGCCATAGACACAACCCCGCGGCTGTCGTGGTGCACAGTTCCAAGGCCCTCATCGTCAAAATACCGCTGCTCCGGTGCAAAAACGGATTCCCCGCCCTTCCCCGTTCCGGTTGGATCGCCTGTCAAGACAAACGCGTTCGTAACGCATCGGTGGAAGAGGCAGCCATCGTAGTAGGAGGAGGCACAGAGCGCAAGGAAGTTGAAGCACGCCTTTGGGCAGTCCGTGTAGCGGAGATGAATAAGCAAACTGCCCCTCGTTGTAGAAATAACAACAGACATGCAGATCTTACAAACAGACACACAGAGACGCCAAGCAAAAAATATGTGCAAAAATCAACTTCGTACTTGTCTCTTGCGACTCCCCCTTGCCACCTTTTCGCAGTTGTGTTGTTTATTCTCTTTTCCCTCCCGTCCCTCCTCGACGAAGGAAGCAAACTGAGCCAAAACAAACGTACACACGGTGCCGTGAGAGAAAAAAAAAAGGACTAAAAGAAAAATATCACACAACAGTGAAGCACGCCCCAATAGCTGCCGTCGTGTGAGATGAGGAACCACGCACGGAAATAGACATACAAAAACACACACAAAGCAACAAAACAAAGCAAAAAAAAAAAAAAAAAAAACAGACTCAAAGATATATATAAAACAAAAGGGGAACGAGGAAGGGCAATTGGTGTGGCAAGACAGCGCCCATGAGGTCAAATCAAGTTACACTCATCGACATTCCACGCGAGTAACGACGCCGGGGCGTTGCCCCGCACTTTCGTTCCCCCACCTACAACATATATATACAGACATCAACACTTAAGCGCAAATTCGTGCACATGTGCCCACGTCACGTCTCAACTTTTCTCTCTTTCTCTTTCTCGGTCTCTCCTCGGTAAAAAAGCTGATTGAAGGGAAAAAACACATGCGCCCTTTTACTTTCCCCCCACTCCTCCCCTCGCAAAAACAGCACCCATGTACATACATACACAGAGAGAGAGAGAGAGAAAAAAAAAAAAAAAGAGAAGAACAACATAATAAGAGAGTCCAAGAAAGGACAGACACAGACATACACACAACGAAAAAAAAAAAAAAAACTCATTCCACACCCAACTTCTTCGTCCCTCACAATACTCACCCCAAACACAAGAAACGTCTGCCCCAGTTTCCTCCTAATACATCCCTCTCTCGCTCATACTGCACCGTTTCTAATTCTTTACTCCCTCTTGTCTTCCTTTATTTCCCACCTCAGGACTAAATAAATAAATAAATAAATAAATAACGGTAAAGAAATCCTCAATTGCGCATGCCATTGCCATTAGAAGTCTCAAAAGCAGCGGTGGAAGCCCAGCAATAGTGTTTTGAATAAGTGGGTAAATGAACGCGTGTGCAGTCGTTTGCATATAAATATACACACAAAATTTATATAATTAACAAAGGTATAAGACCGTCCTAGAAAATGTGTATAATGACTAAGTAGCAAAACGCATCAGTAAATAAAAAGAATACAACAGCGTTGGCAAGAGAATGGTTGAGAATGGAGCCGGCAAACAGCTATATATAAAATTCAATATTACTCGTGCATTCCATCCTCCTCTCTCTCTCTCTCCCCGTAACCCTTTCTTGACCAACCATGCAAGGTGGATTCACAAAAAAAAGGTGTCTCCAGTTTAGGGGGTTGAAGCCTCTGTTGACTGCTTCTTTTGTACCTTTGACTTCAGCGAAGGGTTCTTCGACAGGTAATTCTCCACCGCCGCCTGAATTGTTTCCTGTGCCAGCATGGAGCAGTGAAGCTTGACTGGGGGAAGTGAGAGTTCCTCCGCTATTTTCTTGTTCGTCAGCTTCAGTGCCTCTGACCATGTTTTTCCCCGAATTGCTTGGGACGCGTACGAGGAGGCGGCAATCGCGCTTCCGCAACCAAAGGCTTTAAACTTTACATCTTCAATGACGCCTGTGTCGGGGTTCACTTTCACCTGCATTTGTGTCATGTCACCACACTCGGGTGCACCGCGAAGCCCTGTTCCCACGTTCGGGTCGGTCTTGTCAAGTTTTCCCATGTTCCGGGGGTTGTTGTAGTGGTCCTCCACCAACGCGCTGTAGAGTGTGCGCAGGGATGCCACCGCTGCGTTGGCGGCAAGTGGAGTGCTTGTGAAGCGACGCATGTGTCTCCTCGTTTTATCTCTTCCCCTGCCCGATTCCTCACTACTTTTTTCTCCTTCCTGCCCTTCTCTTCCTCTCCGATGCCTAACGACAAATATTTACGGCAAGTATCCGCCTCTTTTATTGTTATTTTTATTTTTTTTTGTTATTATTCCCTTTTCCTTCAATGGCTCCCCACCTACGCGGAAGTGCGGGGGAACCGAACAAAAGGGAAAAATAAAAAAGGAAGAAAGGAGAATGGAAAAAAAGACATGCAGGCGGAAGCCAAACACTCAGAAACAACAACAACCACAACAGTCACCACCGTTGAGAGACCGACAGGCCGCCGCTGCGGAGAGTAAAAAAATAGCAGGCACGAAAGAAAAAAAAAGTTTAACAAAAAAAAAAAAAATAAAAAAAGTCGCCCTGCTATAACTGGCAATGCGAAAACTCAATTTAACTCCAATATACGAGGAGGAGGGCGCCCGTGCACGTTACTTTCACCGTCCGAAGAACTCGTGTCGTTTTCCAACTCGTCGGCATCAAAAACGGCAATGGATTCGTCGTCAGATTCAAAATCCGCCTTTTCTCCACTTCCCAAAGACAACCGGCAGCGTGTGGCCGCGGCAACAGAAGCAGTCGGCATGTTGCAGTCCGTTGAGAGGGCACCCAAAAGGTTCAACATCGCCTGCGCCTCACGCACCCGCTTTCGGTCCATCGCCACATGGTTCTTCGCCGTCGGCATGAACACACCATCCACTGCCGTGACGTCACTGGCGGGCTCGCATGGCTCCAGGACGCCCGCCACAACGCTCAGATGCACCTCCATTAAATCCGTTTCGCCATCATCGTATGGTGTTTCCATCACAACAGGCGGAACATCCGCCGCATGGTCCAAAAACGCCTCCACATCCCGTGTGAGTCTTGCGAGCGTGTTCTTCTCCTTGTCGCTGCATAACTTGTTGTTTTCTTGCCGCAAAAGGCTCGCCACACGATATGCGGACGTTGACATGGGAAAACACAATTAGAGTCCCCTTTTTTTTGTTCTTGTTGTTGCTGTCGTTTGTGCGTGAGTGCAGTAAAATAATCAAAAAGTTATAAAAGAGATGCAAACACACACACACGCACAGACAAGAAGAAAACAACAACAACATCGTACTATCCGTTGCAGAAACAAATATACACGTATGTATGGCACATGGGGGCATCAGTGTGGGAGAGAGGTAAAAGCGTCTAATAGAGCCCAGTATTCAACACAGTGTCATTGTGTTTCCAATTCTCCCCATTAATCTTCCGCATTGATTCCGTTTCTATGCGTAAACGTAAGGGCATGTCTTCTTCGTCACTGCGTTCGGCTTCGTCACTCCGCTTCTCATTACTCACTTTTTCATCTCCACAGCAACAACAACAAAACATGCATACAAAGAAAGGCGGGCAGACAGTAAAACTCATAAGAAATAATAATAATAAAGAGATTAATTATTTAAAGGTTAAAGAATAAATAAATAAAATTTTCACACATACATGTATCTACCAATATCTTAATATTATTATATATATAGAAGGAGATGCGAAAATGTAAGAAAAAGATACAGCAATTGAAGCGTTAAAGGGTGCGGATAGATAATAATAATAAAACGTTAGTTACCCTCCCGCTCCCATTACAGCAGTACAGGAAATAAAAATAATGAAATGATCCACGCGGCGCCCACCAAAAGTAAATGGCGACAGCCTTCATTCCCACCTAAGAAGTTTTGCCTCTAGGTATATTCCAACAGAAACGCATTCCACGCCTCCACGACCATATTGGCCTCCGCAGCAGTAGAAGCCTCCAAAAGAAAGGCATGTGAGCACGACACCACGCAGACAAGTCGATCCAGAAACGCACCTTGTAGTTGCAAAGCGTGCGTCCATTTTTCCTCAGTTCCCATCGAAACGTGATCAATGCTGCTCAGTGCCATCGCTCGACACCCTTCACCATACACACCCATCACTTCCTCCAATGTAGAGAGCCCTCTCTGTCGTGTCGAATACCGCATCTCAAATTCCTGCGCAGGAATGCACACAAAATATGCACCGTCTTCTGTCACGCACGCATAGTGCTTGGAACCGCCGTGGCCTTGGACGGCGTGCTTCGTAAAAAGTGTAGGCTCCATCAAAAATTCACCGGCCGATGGTGAATTCCCACCCTTCACCTTACGTCTCAGTTTCTTCCGCTTGGACACCGCATTCCATTCTCGCGACGACGCACCGAAAGAACTTCCACGGCGCAAGCGATTTGTTGGCCGTTCGTTTCTAAAAAATTCTTCGTTACTCAGTGAGGAAAATCTAGCGTCTTTATAATAAAAATTGCGTCCTGTCGAGTGTCGGTAAGCCGGCGAGTGTATCACAGAGTCAAGTTCACGCACATGTTCTTTCACGATATGAGGACTGACTCCTCGGTTCATCCCCGCATATGCGGAATCTACAGAATTCCGCACACTCGCTAGCTTAAGAGGGAGTACATCTCTTGCACCGTTGCGATCATTCACGTTTATTGGTCCAGGACTCTCCACGCTAATTGACCTCCCCAATACGCTTCTAGCACCAGATGCACTGCGTCGCGGCGTCACTGCCACTGCGGCCTCAATGGGGCGGTAATAACCGTCTTTCGCACGCGATGGAAAAAGTACAGAGGGAGTGTCGATCCCAGCCGAGAGCACTACAGAAGAAGGGTTTTCGTGTGAAGCATCACTTGAAGATAAGTGAATAATTCGATCGATAATTGACTCTGCCAATTTCCTTTGATGACTGCGTTGACGTCTGGATCCACCATGGGACTGCTCTAAGGATGATAACTTTGATCGGTTTTGACTTTCCAACGGCAACCCTGAATTGCCAGGCAATCGCCATGAGGGTTGAAAAAGCGTTTCATCTGTATGACAACGGTTGGTGTGTGCCACCAAGTCCCTACATTTTACCTCTACTCCCTTCTCAATACTCATTTCGCCCCGTCTTGCTGCATCCGCATCGGAATTCGTCGGTTTCATCTCAAAAAAGCAATCATATCGGTACGCTCGATTTTTACTTCCTTCTGAAAATAAAACCGGCATCTCGTGGTTAGACGACAATAATTCATTGGGCGCCGGAGCCATCACCGGCCGTCTTACAGGGCTATTCCTTGAATTGGTTTCAACGTAGGTTTGGGAAACCGCATCTTCTTTATAAGACAATTCTTGACGTCCATCGCTTAATGCAACTTCTGCACAGAAGGAGTGATCCTCCTCTACGGGCATAAAACGCCCAAACAGCCCTTTCTCAGCAGCGTCTGCCAATGATGACTCCTGGGGTAGCTCTCGAGGAAGAAAATCCGCCTTATGCAGCCTCTCATGTTCCATGACTGATCGATCCTCAGAAGCCACGGAAATGGAAGGTAGACGAGTCTCTATTCCCCCCAAAGCGGCCGTTGAAGAAACGTCGTATGGTGAACTGGGTACAATAACGTGCTGGGGTTCGTTATCCAAGGCAGAGGGAATTTGTTCCCCTTTAGACATTGTGCCAGAATATAAGGTCGGCCCTTTTCGCATTTCCTTTATTGTATCAACATCGGGTTCGGGAAGTCTTATTTTTGGTTCACTTGTCTCGCTCACCGCGGCAACCTCATTGATATGCGGAGAAATTGGCAGAAATGCATCATTTTCGTTCAGATGTGTAAGCAGATTTCTTTCAGTTTCGCCATTATGCACCATCGACAGTTGAGTTGGACGGGCGAAGTTAAGGGAAGTGGCCATCGACTGTAATTTTTTCGTGCCATCATTTCCTTCTCGCACGACGATCCCTTCAATTACTTCTGCATCTTTATTATTTGTTGTTTCATTACTCAGAGGGTCATGGTGGCCATTATTCCCCAGCATCTCCTCGGCACTGCCTGTGTGGTTTTCATCGTTTTTATGAAGCACGTCCTTTTTTCCTCCCCATTCGGACAAACCGCTGGTGCCATTCTCTGAGATGTAAACTGAAGGCTCTGGTGAAGACCGCGTCATTATTACCGACGATAACTTTTCCGTCGACGAGAAATTGCCTTTTTTACCAGACAATGCGAGCTGAATGGCGTCAAGCCACTGAAGACACTCCCGAGAGTCAGGGGCAATTAACGAAACCTGCGCCGCCTCGCCAAGGTGCAACTTGACGGTGTGAGGTGCCATGTGCATCACGGAGGTCACCGTGGAAAACTTGATGTAGTCCGCTGGGGCGCCACCACGCAAAGTGAGGCCCACGATGAGTGTTGGCGAGAGCTCCGAGTAAAGAACCGATGGAGTCGGCGAAGACGCTACCGTCGTCCCTTTCACCCACGTCAGGCTCCCGCTCATTGAGGCGTGCCTCCAGTCCATGGCACCACCCGCACACTCCTCTTCTTTATGTGTGTGCATGGAGCGGTTTTTGTCAGTTTGCGGTGAAGCAAAAAAATAAAACACACAATAAGAAACCAAAAAAAAAAAAAAAAAAAAAAAAAAAATTGTTTCAAGTTGCCCAACGCAGCCACACACCAGCCAAAAAAATCCAAGCAAATTTCTTCTCCGCAATGAAATAAACCCGTTTTTTTTTTTTTTTTTTTTTTTTGGGGGGGGGGGGGGCGTGTCTGCAATGTGAGAAAATTTTTTTTTAAAAATGGGCAAGAAGACAAATGATGGTCGTTGCATCTATTCGCTAAAAGCGGATGGATGTCACACGAAATCCACCGCGTTCATTAACTCTTGCTGTGAAGATGACTTTTTCCCCCTTCGCCCACTGATGCTTCCGCAGCCACGGCTCTCCGACGTACACTCGTTGGTTGGGATGTTCCGTACCAGAGGGCTGAATAAACGCATAGCGATTTGTCACCATACACACAACCCCCTCTGCATTTTTCATTGACTCCGGAACGTCATTGTGGCAAAGTGGGCACCGCGCCTCCAGGTGTACGAGAGCACACGTGGCACATTTGGCTGGAACAAATGGGCAAACCTCAGCCGCCTCCTCGACTGCACTCTCCACAGCAGCACGCTGAACTCCACAGAAGATGCAGTACGCCTCAAATTCAACGTTTACCCGCTGACATTGAAGACATTCCCATGCGTCGGTCGGGCACTTTTCCTGCACGCAGGGGCGCAAGGACAGACAATTCTGACACACGTAGCTACAGACATCCGCATTCTTGTTTTCCGCGCCACACTCCTCACATATCCATGGCTCTTTGTTATGAACACATAATTCCTTCGGGTGCGTCCCAAGACAGTATGGACACTGTCCATTCAAAAAATGTTTTGTTCCGAGAAACCCACATTTGGTGTCGATATGTTCCAAAAGTTGTTTCGCCAACGCAATAGCACGTCTTGCCATTGCGTCATAGGCAATGAATTTGAACAGACGAGTTTGTAGACGTCCGAGCTCTACTGCTACAAAAACATGGGTTTCCTCCATAACTCTGAGCTCCACATGCGTTTTAAAGGAGCACATCAGTTCTTGAAGAAGTGTTACCAAACGCTCGTTTATCCCATCACGCTCCGACAGCTGCACAAGCCCCTTCAACGTCTCGCACACAACAGGAACACTCCAGCCTTCCCTTTCTACTGGTGGTAGAAATGTGGTGCAATGCATGCACATGGCTTCAATATGCAAAGGCTCCACGTCTTTGCCACACCCTTCGCAGTGGCGAGGAGCAACGTGTATGAAATCAGACTCACGCATATCCTCTCCACATTCCTGACAGACGTGTGCCGCATCGCCCACAGCCATAACATCGCAATTTGAACAACGGAAAGCCAATTGACCATCACCTTTCGTCGCTTTCCGAGCCACCATCTCTTCACTCGACGCGTTACGCTGCAGAGAACCATCACAGCGAAGACATTGAGATGCAAAGGGATTGACAGAAGGGAGACGGCAATCGGAGCAAAGAGGAGAATCGCGGATGTTCCGCACAACCGCAAAAGGCAGGCATTCTACCTGCGGACAGTCAGGACATGCACGGTCCAACGAACTCCGTAGTTCTCCACATCCTTCACAGCACCAAACAATGGAATTCGCAGCAGCCCATGATTCCCGAAGCCAACCGCATTTTCGACAATACTGCATCAATTCCCCCAAAGATTTTTTTGCATCCAACGCGTTGTTACCAGGGCAAAAACAATGCTTCTTCTCTATTCGTTCCAAAGATTGCAATAACTTGGCAACAGGACCATTGGGTGCCTTGCAGCGAAAGCAAAAAAAAGTCTGACGTGCAGGGTTGTTCGCACCACAGCCGTCGCAGGTCCATGAACGTCGCACAACAGCTGCCGCAATGAAATCCTCGCACATTCTTTCACCGCATGACTGACAGCATTTCCAGCGCTCATCCTGAGCATGCCCACAGCGGGAGCAGACCAAAAAACTGTTTCGAAGAGCGGAACAAAGGCAATAATTAAATCGATCACTGTTTAGTCGACCACATGAGGAACACTTCCATAGTTTGTAGGGTGGGGCCAGCAAGGCATGCCGTTTCAAAATTGGATCTGCATCACAGCGCCAAACAGTAGACAGATGTTCCACCGTTTCCCTCTTGCCCTGATCCCGGGCAAAGCAAAGAGTGTAGTAATTCAAGAATGGAATGCCATTTGTGGAGGGATCCACGCGAGAGAACAGTTCTTTCAGCGCCAAACTGGAAGATCGCTGTAAATTCCATAGGATAGATGATGTCAGTGGAACGGCAAAGTGTCTCAAACTCACTGCGGTTTCCAACAGTTCAAGAATCATATCGGTGTTTATTTCATCACCAAAGTACAACGCCACGGTGCGCAAGATTGGGAGCACAAGGTTTAACACACTGCGAGGGGCTGCGTCCTTGGGAACTTCTTTATCGATGCGTGCCACACGGTCACAAATACCGGCCAGGACGTACTCAATGCATTGGCTTATAATCATACCGGGGTTACGAAAAGATACAAGAGCACGGTACAAAGGATTCATGTCAGCAGGATCTCCCAAACGACCCACAAGGCTACACACAGCGTGAATCGCCAACATTGCAGGTGAAGGAATGTTGATCCATCCCTCTTCACGTGACTGCGCCAATCTTAGGAGGGCCTGGTGGGACTGTGAAACATCCCCGTTCCGTACATGGGCCAAAACAGAATGTGGTGTTTCACGGAGGGTTGGACGTGCCGCATACGCTTCACGGACAAGTTCTTCACGATGAATACTAACAAGAACAGCGCTACCATGCACAAGGCCCTCCTCAATGTGCCGTGTCTCTCGATCACTTCTGACCAGAGCGCGAAAAGCGCGAATAATCACTTCAATACACTCGCAAGGTACAGTGTTGCTAACAGCAACAGTAATGCCGCAATTCGCAAGGAACTTACATTGAACGGAAGGTGTCACCAGCTTGTGCTCCTCCATTGTGTTGTATACTTCACAAAGTAAAAACACAGGGGCATGCTTTAAACAGGACATGACTTGAATGTACAGCTCGCCATACCCTTCGATTGCTTCTCCCAAAAGCCAGCGAAGCGCCGTCACCGCGCATTCATGAAACCCGCCCATGGCTGATTCGACGGAAAGAGCACCCGTATGACGTCCTCGAACAACAATAGCCAAATGATGTAGACACAGCTTCACAACATCCACATTTATCTCCTTTCTACGTAGAATTGAAAGAACGATGGGGGCAATGTGAATAGGAAGGGATGCAGCAAGAACTGCTCGCAAACAGCCTTCATATCTCCTCTGATCGCTATTTGTGATGGAAGCCAGGAATCCCATAAGTTCTGTCAAAACGGCTCCCTCAGATTCTTCCACTTGCACAGCGTATTGCATCAATGAGAGAAGCGTCTTTTCAGTCAAATGATTCCCACAACAACGCAGCATAATTTCCACAATATGATGATAACCACTTCGATCTTTTGCCTTTGCCACCGTCATCGACCCTTTTGACAGTCGCTCTTTTTCTCGCAGCCTCCGTCGTGAGATATGCTCGCAACGGTTCCGATCCCCGCACGCTTCCGTTTTGTCGTACGACCGCAGAGTGTCCTCGGAGGCCGCAAGTAGAATTGCAAGGGCCGCGGCACCGCCATCATCACTGCCGTGTCCGCATGGCGCCCGTGTTACGGCGGAGGTCACCGTCCATTTTGTCCAGCAGCGAGTCAAAAGCGTCAGGGCCAAAAAAGGAGGGAGACGTTCCTGCTGCAAAAATTGCATGGAAATTGCTAGAGGCTCACTGGCGACCACATCCATCCCGAGCGCAAGCGCGGAATACGGCGGAAGCGCCCTGTCTGCGTGACCAAAAACAGCCCCGCGATGTCGCGCCACCCGGGGCGAAGTGAATGCCCGACTGGCCGGAAGACGCATGCAATGCGCAGACCAAATCCCTTCTCCCGTTTCTCCCTCGATTCCCTTTCCTCACCGCGCAGGTGGCGGAAAAAGAAGGAGACGACACCCGAAAGAACGCCGCAACGAACGGGAGTATCCGCCCCACAACACAAATAAAAAATAAAAAGGGCGGAGACAACCCAAACCACCAGAAATGCTTACGCAAAGGAGAGTGAAAAAAAGCCAATGCGTGTGCAATTTTCGAGATTTCGGGTAACGCCTTAAAAGAAAAAAGAAGGGGGAAAAAAAAAGTTTTTCAATACCAATACGCCAACACACACACAGACAGACAAATCCATAAAAACAAAACAACAACAAAAAGAAAATGTAATGCTCCCCGCCAGTCAAACATTAACTGCATGCAAAGTATGGGGCAGAAACGCACACGTAATGCCTCGCTCCAAAGTGCGGCGAGGTACACCCCAGACAAAGCTCGAAGCCACGCCTCCAACACGGGCGTGCCATCCCCTCATTTCTATAAACGGTAAATGAGAATAAGGGAAGAAAAAAAAAAAAAAAGAACACACCTCAATGCTCAACGTGGTATTGAATGCAAATAAGAAAAAAAATATAATAGTAATAATAACAATAAATTTGACGCATATCGCCCACGTCATTGCAAGTACTTCGCCACTAAGAAGATATTTTTCAGACACATTTGGATTGCAGATTCAACAAGAAAAAACCCACACAGACAACAGAAAGAATTCTTCAACTCATTCCCCCTCCCATCTTTCCCTTTCATTCCCCCAAACCCAGGATCCCTCCGCTTTCCCTCCTCCACTAATCTCCCCACACCAGTAACATGTTCCCTACAGGCAATTGCTTCCTCTTAGTGTCCCTAGATTCCCCAATACAACCGCTGCTGCTAACATCATCATTACTGTCACCATGAGTAACAACTGCAAATAATAATAATAATAATAGTTTACACGAACGTTTCTGGACGCTTATCTTCTGGAAGCGGAAATCCAGGCACCATATCGTATACAATCTCATCTGGGATAAGTTTGTGGCCGATTGCATTCGTCATAGTGCCTTTTTCCCAAATAGTAGGAGAAAACTCAGATCGCATAAGAGCCCTGTTAGGCTCGCGCCACATCATCGGATTTGCGGGGTCCCTTTCATCCCATCCACTAAGTCGCTGTGACGCTGCCATTGTCCAATAAAAAGAGTTCATATAAGTGGGAAAACCCAAGTACAGCAAGCTAGGGAAAAACTTCTTGTCTTCAGCCGTGTAATCCTTCGTTAGCTCCATAAACTTTGACTTCAAAAGTTGACTCCGATATGTCTCGTACGCGCGGCACACAACCCAGGCTTCCTCAAACTCGTGGCAATTTGCCGTTCCCCACGTAACTGGCTTCAAATTTTTAATGCATCGGTGAAGTGGCACCCATCGGTGAACACACTGGTCCCGAAACATTATGGGAACATTATGCAACTCCATAAAATTGCGGGACACCGACATGGGTCGGCGCTGGTGGCCACGATCGGCACCGAAGGGATCCAGCATGTTCCAGAGCAAAGGATTGTCGTAGGGCCCAAGATTGATGGGCGGCATCGGGTCCCCGGGCTCCGTCCTCTCGAGATCCTTCAAATACTCCGTCATGATGAGAAAAGCTGAGATCTAACAGAAATGCACACAAACAACCACCACCACAGCAACAGGAAAACATAGATATGTACGTATATGTATACATACACACATCGCCAATACATGCAACCATGCCAGTCCCGAAAACACGAGCAGACAGACAGACATATACATTCATTTATTTATTTTTATAAAGAAGGAAGAAAAGAATACTCTGAAAAATAAAATAAAATACGACCGAGTTGTCAACACTGCACCAAACCAAGAAAATCAACAAATAAATTGTCCGTAAAAATAAATAAATAATCAATACTAAAAAACAAAAAAAAAAGGATCCTCTAAAAAAACAAAAAACAAAAAACAAATAAATATGTGTGCCTGACCGATGCCCGCTCTTCCATTTCCCACAGGAAGAGATAAAAGAACGAGGGACCAAAGTCGAGTTAACTTTACCCAGTGTCCCCCCAATTCAGGGAAGACGCATCCAACACCCATTGCCCCCGTGAACCAATTTACAAAACACATGCTGTAACAACTCGGGTTGTTGCAAAATCACAAATCGGAATCCTTTAAGAACTCCCCACCGTCTTTTATTCCCCTCCGTGTGGAGGGCATTAAAACAGGGGGGAACAAAATAATAATAATAATAATAATAAATATGTAAATTTATACGTGTGAAGAAAAGAAGCGGCACTCACACACACGCACACAAACACACACATTAAAAAAAAAAAAAAACACCAAATTAACGTTTTGCTGCATTTTGTTTTCCTCTCGCCATTGGCTCAAAAAAAAGTTGAGAGCACACAAAAGGATTTCAAAAGTGAGAGAAAAAAGAGAAGAACCCCGTCGCTTCACGATGCGCTCATAGCTTTCCTTTAACACCCTGCCAGAGAGAAGCAACAAAGGCACCGTCGCCAAGAACCACTGGGTACACATCGCAGACAAGACCAAACCTGGACTTAAACTTTTCCTGCACGTTTTTCACAACGCTTTCCACGGCATTCTTTTTAAGAAGAAGGAGAATACATCCGCCAAAGCCACCGCCCATCAATCGTCCTCCGCTCACGCCCTCTTCAAGATTAATGGCCCGATGAATAAAATTCAATTCCTCGGTGGATATCTTCAAAAGATCACGCTGTCCTTGATGGGTTGCATTCAGTAGCTCGCCGGCCTTTCGAAAACGCTCCTCCTGGCTCAAAGGACACTCAGGTCGACAAAGCTCAATAAACTGAAGGGTGCGGATTTGCTCGGCAATGTTAAAGATGCCACGGTCGTACTGGCCAGGGGTAAAATGCGGTCTGCAGGACTCCACAAATGCCACTGGATCTTCTTTTGTGAACTTCTTGGGATTTCTTGCAAGATCGCGGAAAGTAAATGCCGCATTATTCATCTTATGTTTCTTTACAACCGCCTGTGCACCTTCAGCATCTGAGCGTAGTGTGTTATACCCACCAGCTGTCGAGCCCGTCAATTCATGACGAATCATGGAATTTATCAAAAGGAAGCAGGCGGAGTCTCCAAGCAGGTAGGACAATGGGTGGGACTCAAACGTTAGGGAATCACAGTCCAATGCCATGAATGAGCCCTCCGTGGCGTGAATGGCCGAAAATTGATCCATGATACCTACATTGACTCCACAGAATTCTGTCTCAATGCGATGTGCCTGTTTTGTCAATTTAATCCTTTCCTCCCTGCTGCAGGGAGGGAGAATCGGAAACCGGGTTCCAGGCACGTAGCACTTCCCACGGTATCGCCGCGTTGCCACGGTCGTGATGGCATTCAAAAGGGCCACATCAAAGGATGCGGAAGCACTCATGCCGGACCCCATAGGCAGAGTTCCCTTCGAGATGGCGCAGAAGCCCTGCAGCTCTGGAGCGTCGATGGGCATGCCAAGGTCGTTCAGCGCCAATGTAGCCGCACCACGAACAAAAGTCCTCCAATTCTTGTCGTGTTTCGCCTGCCCAAGACGATCAAGGACAAAACATTCATCGTCTTCTGTCGCAAAGCGTAACTTCCCGTCGCAGAGGTGTCGAACACGGCCAACAAGAATGTGGCAGCCCTCCTTGAGGGCGGCGGGACACACATACCCGCCCATGTAGTCCACATGCTCACCAAAGAAGTTCACACGGCCGGGGGCGAAGGTGAAAAGAAGCCACTCGACGTCGTCTTCAGCGACAACATTAAAGGTCCTCAGAAACTTTAACTTCAGCTCCGAAACGGTGGCATGAATTCGCTTGTCTGAGTAGCTCGGCATGCTTTGCTTTTCAAAAATGGCAAACAGTAAATCCTCTTTTTTCGACAACTCATCTCACACACAATATAAAAAAAAAAAGAAAAAAAAAGGAAATATAACAAAAAAGAAAAAAAAACAACAACAGCAAAAACTCCCCCAGTCATGAAAGCAAATAATAGCACATCATTGCAGCGGACACAAGAAGAAACACAAAACGAAGGGTAACAACAAACGCAAAACACTAAAAACCAAGAACGCCCAGTGGTGAGTGACTAACACAAAAACATAAAAAATAAATAAATAAACAACACCAAAAATAAAATAAAAAAAAATAGATTCATGCAAAAACAACATGCTCCCGGCCGAGGCCTTGTCCTTCATTCCCATAAAGTGAAAGGACAGCAACAAGAGAGAAACGACAGTTTGGTTCAATGCGCCCAGCATCCCCCGCTTCAAAAACGAGTTAACCCGCACCCACACTCACACAGTAGTAAACCGATTCCAAATATATTTGTCGTGATAACCGGGCTCGTTGTGAACCCACGAACTGGCAGTTTTCACGATTTCCGCAGCCCCTGTTTTCCCCCTCCACGTGGAGGGGGAAAAGGAAGAAATGCGTGGGGCAACAGAAATGGGGAAAAAGTAGAAGCTGCACTTGCTGCCTTACAAATTGGTATCTTTGGAGACCAGCACCACATTGCAGGTAAAGAGGCATGTCAGGTGGACAAGAAACCCTCTTGCTCGTTCTTCCTCACATGGCCACACATCCTTCCCACACGCTTCCAACGTAAAAAAAAAAGGAAAAATTACTAAAAGTCGCCGTCCTCACTCTAAACAAGACGTGGCAGATAAGGATCCCACACACAGTCGGACCGTTGCCCCATTCAAAAAGAGAGATTTGGGCGTATTTCTAAGTTCCTAAAGGTGGGATTTCAAGTGGTGGTGAACGACACGGCGCAAGTGAATGACGTTCTCCTGCCTATTCTTGGCTTTGAAAACGGCCTGTCCTGGAACCAAACAGTTGGCCCCTGCTAATGCCGCCTCATCCACGGTAACGAGATTAATAGAGCCATCCACTTGAATGTTCAGATGGGGGTACCGTCCACGCAGCTGACGCACTTTTGCAAGAGGCTCCGACAGAAATTTTTGCCCCGCAAATCCAGGCTCTACAGTCATGACAAGTACCATATCCAAATGACCGTTCTCAATAAGTGGGATAAGACCGTCAATCGCGGTGCGGGGACTAATTGCAACACCTACTTGCATACCAGCCTCAAGAATTTTGCTTGCCAAAGCAACTGGCTCCTGTGTGGCCTCAATATGAAATGTAAACTGCGATGCCCCCGCATCAGCAAACGGAC